TAGGCAAGATCTTGTGGAACCCAGAAGAAAGCATATATATCTATATATATATATAGAGAGAGAGAGAGAGAGAGAGAGAGAGAGAGAGACGGAAGGTAATTTGTGGAACACTTTTTCTTTTTTAGCAATTTTTCATATGAAACAGGTCATGTTTTGTCATTTTTGACTTCATAAAGTTGGGATTTTTTGAGCATTTGGATTTCAGATATTTGGATTCAGGATGCTCAACCTGTGCAATGAGGAAAATCATTAAAGCAAAGTCATCTTCTACTTCAATGTACATTTTTATTCATAGTTGAAAAGAATAGTCTATTACTGCTAACATATTGTAAATTTACTCAGAATCAAAGGGTTCAGAGAGACATAAAAATGTATGTATTTTCTACTAAATAACAATTTCTGCTCACTTTAGATTATGAGTATAGTATACAGGAATTATATGCACAAAAAATGTAAAAAGTAATTGTGAAAACAAGTCTCATTACCAATTTTTATAAGAAAAAAAGACATTCTTTTTTTTTTTACAGGCTACCAACATCATATAGGATAGTTTTGACAAGATTCAGTCTTCTTCAATTAATTCATCTGGTAGCTCAAGAATCTATAGAAAAAAATTAATATACAGTGAAGTCACTACACAGTGTCATGGGACAGTAGAAATTCATATCAGTACAAAATATCATTCAAGAGTTTTACATGGAGTTCCAGTGTCAAGTTGGAGAGACATTTTGGTTGGCAAGCAATCTAAGCATTATTGAAGATTGAAAGATTTAAAAAAATGATTTCTGTTGGTAAAAATGTTAAGAGTTTAAAAACATGTAGAAATAGACAGAAGTTGTTATGTCTTGGTCTTTCCATCATCTTACCAGCAGATCCTTGCCTTGGAAACATAATGAAATGTTTTAGATACTTCCAGTATTTTCCATAAGATGGCAGAGTTGATATTATAAATATGAGAACAAATTCACTTTTATTCTGTTGGTCACAGCAAGAAAAAGAGCCTTAGAATCATTCTCACTATTTGAGTATTGCTATCTTGTATTCAACAATAATAAGTTTAAAAGAAGCAATAAAAATGAAACAGTTATGTTTTAGATTGAGATGATGCCATAATTCCATGGGAATTCCCCTTTGAGCACTGATTTTGCTCCTTGAGTGAGTTCCTGTACTGTCAATTGTCTGTGCTGAGTTTTATGTAACACTAACCAACCCATCTATGCACTACTCTCAGATCACCACAGATATGACAGGAAAATGTTGGTATCAATGAAGCAAGTAGTGGTCGTAACTGTTTTTGATTGTTAGGAGCTTCAGACTGTCTACCTTTAATGCAAATTTAGAGGCCCTTCGGTCTTTCTTTGATTCTCTTTGACATGGGTGACAGGTTCTGAATGACAGGACCTATTTTGTCCATTTGCTCTTAAGTAGAGAGTCACGGCAACACATGCAGCACCCATCTGCCCAGAACAGGGTAGTCAGGGGCCAAGAGAGACTTTAGATCAGAGTGAATAGGTGTCAGTTGCAGAGACTAAACTCAAGGAAATTGTGATGCATAGATTGACTATAAGTGACTTGGATTTCTGTTGGAAACATCTCAAGTAAAAGCTGTGTATTTGATTGTTTTTATTGCTTCCCTGGCTTCTTGCACAAAGCAGATGCTCATGAAGTATTTTTTGAATGTGTAAGGATACAGCAAAGAAATGTTGCAAATGGACTTTCTTCCTTTCTCAGCTTGCAGGAGCTCAGAATCTGGAAGAAGGAAAATTGTGGCATCTCCAGTCAGGGCCCAGGTTGTGTAGCGCACAAGGACCTGGAGCTCTTCACCACTGGACTGTGAACTCCCTGTGGGAAGACTGTTATTATTTTGCATTATATCTCTAGTGTCTGTCCAGTGCCTCATGCATAGGAGGTGCTCCACAGGGATGTTTTAAGAGAAAAAGGTGACACACATAACTTGCCATCAGTGGACACTGGCATGTGTGTAGCTTGGGAGTTTGTTGAATCCTGTCTTACCCATGTGGTTGGTTTACCAAATGCTAGTATGGTAACTACCTGCAGTGAAACTTCCAGATCAAAAGTATCTCCTGGGTATTGTCAGTTTTACACACCACAGGGCAAGTCAGACATCTATAAAGGAAGAGGAAACGTGTTCCAGTTTGATATAAAATGCTACTATCTACAGAGTACCCAATGCCGACAGGATCAAGTTTGTTTTGGTGAATGTAGGCAAGATCTTGTGGAACCCAGAAGAAAGCATGCCAAACCCATGTTTTCTGTAAACATTTCCCTTTTCTGTGAAATTTCACAGGACTATGAAATCTTTCAAATGAAAAAAAAATCAGGGCATTGTATCAGAAGAGACAATTTGGTAATTGCCAAGTGGAAAAAAAATTTTTTTTCAAAGGGGAAAATTCCAGGGAACTGGTTATCAGGGCCCACAATCTTGAAAATGTACCCACCCCTCCCCTCTGAGATAGCTTCTTACTGTACTCTGGCTCCTATTCTATGTACACATAGACTACATCTGGGTTATTACTGATCTTTGCTCTCTTAAATACCTAAGCACATTTTCTTTAATCATTTTGGGAGAAGAGTCTTCCAAAACAAAGTTGACATAACCTAACTATGTAAGAAGACTATAATGACCATATAGTCACCACATATTGTTGGACATATAATGCAGGAAGCAGTAATACTACATTTGAAAGCTTTTCATTCACACAGTAGTCATTGAGATATGTATAGTCATCAGAAGAAAATGTCCAGCTGATGAAAGTAAACTATATTATTTAAATAAAATCAATAATTAATATAATTTCAAGATAGGAAAAAAGTTTCTTCAGAAAGTAGTATCTGTTCCTAACACAAATAAATCTTTCACTTAATGATTTGAATTCATCATAATATGAACAAAATGTTTTGTAAAACAATACAGCACTGCCTTAAGGCTGTGTTAAGTATATTTATTTTTGCCTTAAATATCCCCATAAGACTGTGATTTTCATTCTTATATTAGTTTTTCCTCTCTGTTCTTTTAGAAATAGTGTGCATAATTACTATCTGTATTTTTGCTCATTTTACTTTGCATCTCCCTTTCCTGTTTTCTGCTTCTAATCTGTATGGGCTTGAAAATTATTTTTAATAAAATAGTTGAGACACTAGGACTGTGGATCAATTAAGAGTTGAATAGGAGTTAAATAATAGCTGCAAGAGTTTTCCTATGAATAAAACTGAGGGGTTTCAGGGTATGGATTTTGTGAAATCTATTGGGATAGTCAGACGACATTTTTGTTAGATTTTTGATTCTTGTTCTGTTGTGGATGGATGAGTTTGCCAGGTAGCAGAGTCCTTGTTATATACAGGAAGTCTTAGAAAACTTTGAAAGGTAAGTACAATGGAGAAGACCAGTTTTGGGATATTATTATTATTATTTTTACCTACAGTGGCAAAAAATCCTTAGTGTTTTCAGAGCAGAAGTTCTCAGTGGGAGTTCTCACAAGTTACAACCAGAGGATGAGAAACAGTTTTGTTATTCTAATGTATTAGGCATTTTGCTTTAGGAACTCTGCTGATATTAATTCTCTTTGCTTCAGATGTTCCCCCTAGGATGCAAAAATATTTTGAAGTGTTAACACCCACATTTCCTTTGAGTTACACGGGATGAAAAATGGAATGCCTATGTGTGTAGAAGAAAATGAGGCATTTTTTTTATTACAATTATCACTGATGCTAAGAATACTCTGGCCTTCTAGCAGCACCTGTCACATGGCATCTTCGATTTTCAGGGAAACTTTAATGAAAACTCTTCGTTTTCTTAAAGGTTGTAATTATTATGCAGCACAATGTTTACAGATAGGGAAATGTGAGACTCAGGCAGAATAAAATCAAGGAAGGTTGATGGCCATGGGCCCCGAAACAAATGGGAAAAGAATAAAACAGAAACAGAGTTTGTCTTCTTAATCCCACCCTGAAACCACTGCCCAAACCTCCCTTTTGACAAAGATTAACAGAACCAACGTGCCTCAAGCCTAGACATTGAAGGTCTAGGAGCACAAAGACAACTTCATGCAGGGCCAAGTGGTTTCGATTTTGGGGAGAAATTTAAATAATTTGAGTTCTGTAATCAATGGCCTTTTTCTGTGGTGTCAGAAAGTCCAACACTAATCAAATGATTTTTAAAAATCCACTATACTAAGTGGTTTGGAAGCAATAAAAGGAATTAATGAGCTTTACTTGTCCTATAGAAACAAGTACACTACAGAATTGCCCCAAATTCCATTCTCTGGAGATGTTTAACTTGTTGCTTCGGACATTATATTTGGCTTAAAATGTAATGTCCAGAGAACATTTTTTCTTATTTAGAAACATGGCAAAATGGAAAGTTATGGAGGAACCTAAATAAATATTAATACATATTGATTGAATAAATGGATTAAACAATGACAGTAATAATGAAAACCCTAGACAATACAAATAAAAAATCTATACATAATTCCATTGTCCAGGGATTATGTCCAGCTTCTCATAATTCTAACAATTTGGGAGGCTGAGACAAGAGAATTGCAAGTTCAAGGTCAGCCTCAGAAGTTTAGCAAGACCCTGTCTTAAAATAAAAGGACTGGGGATGTAGCTCAATGGTAAAGTGTCCCTAGGCTCAGTCCCCAATACTAATAAAAGTATTCTACACAATAGAATGCAAGCATTGATGAAGGAATCAGAAAACCAATTAGCACTCACACATATAATGATCTCCATTTATATTATCATTACCTTAATTCAGTAGTAATATTTGATATAGTGAGGGTCAGAGTTTCAAATTAGATAGATGATCCTAATAAAGTATTTTATAAAACTTTATCCAATGACTTGCTGTTTTAGGTTTAAAATAGATTTAAGAAGTCAGAAGGAGAAAAGGCCAATCCTCTTTAAAAGAGACTTAGAAGAAATGAAACTTTGAGATAGTTTAAAAAGTGACTGAAGGCAATTATTTGCAAAATCACTTCCCCAGAAACAGAAAACTTTAGAAGGGTTTTACATCCAGCAGTTAAAAGTAAAGTTTCTTCATTCTGGCTGGAAGAAGTGATCAGGAGGCTTGTCTGGGGCATGCAAATTATGTTTAAACACAAAGTGTAAAGTAGAGAAAGAAGGCAACGGGCAGGAATGAGGAATGAGCCATTTTTTTGAAAGCAAAGAGCAATGATCTGAACTCTCAGATTTCTTATTTCCCCTGAGAAAATACATGCAGAGATGAAAATAAGCAAAGTCAACAAGAACACATATAAAGTATTTTGTAAAGGGCACTCTCTGACACTCAGATCCAAGCAGAGGAAATGTCAAGGGCCAAGAAGCCCACAGCAGGTGACTTCTTGCAGCCTGGATATGCGAAGCCAGAGGAGCCTTTACAAATAGCAAAGGCATCAAATTAGTCAACAGCAAAGGTATGGTGTAGTAGGGACAGCTGTTGGACACCCATGTACATGGAAGAAGGTAGACCTGATGGGACATGGTGCAGACCAACTACAACTACCAGCTTCAGTCTCCTCATCTGTAAAGGAATCACTGAGGTCCCTTTTTCAATGCAAACATTTTATCGCATAGAGAAATTGCACATTGTATTAGACATGTTATTTCTTTTAACTTTCACTTCCTAAAATATTCATCTACTATTTTCCATTTAAGGAAGTGGATCACATGGCACATTTTAACAATATGATCACATAGAAAAGGGTCTACTCTGGTATTGAAGTTTGTGTGAAGGTGTGTGCACAACAAAAATAAGTCGCCCACTCTTGTTTAAATTGTCAGTTAGTCATGGTTGCCAGATGGAAGGTGCCAGGTGTTAAGAGAATAGAACTAACAATTTTACTCACGAAAATCATTTCTTGCAAAATTATTAAATAAGTAGTACCTTCAAAAGAGAAGGGCCTGATAAAATAAAAATAGTTCAACTGTTATGGCCATGGAAGAATTAATTTATTTTATGTATTTTTACCCTTTTTACTACGAAATAAAGCCCCTAAATTTTATATGGCACAAGGTCATCAAAAATAAAGACCATATTTCCCAGTTTTTTTTTTCCAACAAAGTTTGGTGTGCGCCAAGTTTTGGGCAATGCAATATAAGCAGAAGTAGTGTGGGAAAATTCTGAGAAATGCCTTTAGAGGAAAGAAACCTTCTTCTTTTTTTTCCCTTTTTCTTTCTCCTTGGTTGGAATACAAAAGCAATGGCTGGAATTTCAACAGCCATTTTGAATCATGCTATGATCTGGAGAATGATGGCTCCCCAGGATGAAGCAAAAAAGAGGGATCCTGGATCCATATCTCTAGGAAACTCACATCTAGTGCTTTGCTGATTGTAGAATTCTGAAATATGAAGAGGAAGAGACATCTTATTTAAGCAACTGTATTTTTTTTCCCTTACTGTAAGTAAACTTAATCCTCACTAACACAGACTGACAAGGTTGGTTGTCTGCCAAAGCAGATTCTATGAGAACTAGATAGAGTCTAGGTTTTGCTAAACTGTTTCTTAACAATTCCAAAGAGGAAAAGGAAAGCATGCCTTAAATGGAGAATGATTCAATGTTTTGAGTTAATCAAAGGAACAAGAAAAAACAAGACAAAACAAAAAAAAAAAAAACAACTGTGATTGACACTGTCCAAATCCAAATCAGGAAGACTTTGGGTACCGAACTCTTCTCTTGCCTCCTCTCTATTCCCTTTCCTTCTCTTTCTTTTCTCATATTCCTTCCTCTCCCCACTGCCAGCTTTCTTTTTATCTCTTGTTTTTTAAAAATTCTTTTTACTTAACTTGGATCTCAAGTTCAAGCCAAAGCATATTTTGGATTCCTTGAATATTTCATTTTAAATGCTCCACATTTAATACAATTCTTGACCTTTAAATGATTGCAAGTTCAATGAAGATGATTAAATTTTTACCTGACACCATTTTTTTCCCTACAAATACCAATATTTAAGGAATTTGACCCACTTTCTGGAAATGTCTTTTTTAGACAGAAAAGAGAAATGCCACCCACAGAATTTGGACTATTTGATAATTTCTCTTTTTGTGAGAGACCTTAAATAAGAAATACATTCATTTAATACTTAAAATTTGTCCTTAAGTTGTGGGCCTATTTGTTGCAAATATTTAACCATGGCTTGTAGATACTTCAACATACCTCCTATCAAAATAAATAAATAAATAAATAAAATAAAACAAAGTTGCAGACCATTCTTAAATGCAAAGGGTGTGTGTGTGTGTGTGTGTGTGTGTGTGTGTGTGTGTGTGTATTTAAAACCCAGACATTTAAGGTTGCTGCGGTTTAGAAGATCAATTATTTGTATTTTTTTCTACTTAATTCAGCTACCTCTTGAAGGAAAGCAGGTATTATCTTGGGCTAAAATGTCAAGTTAGAATATTTGAATTCTAATCAACTCTAACATTTCTGCTAGCTACATATTAAAGTAACTCAGAAATGATAAGTGACTGCTTTAGAAAATAATCAGCCAGAATATTCTCAGACCACAGTGAGTCCACATTTTTTTGGGGACACCATCATTTTTTTTTAATTAGGTTGAAAATAAAGGTCTTTTTAATTCTTGGCAAGATCCCTTTATAATTTGCAAAGATTGAAAAGAGTAATTTTGCTTTTTGTTTTCCTCTTGATTTAGCAGAGTCATGATGGTTTTCCTCAGCTCTGCAATGTACATTTTAGCTAGTTCTAATGAAGACAAATTCCACTCAATCAGGAGTGTCCCATTCATTAAGTGAGACAGATGGCAGCCTTGCCATGTTTTGTTAGCTTCAGCCACTTGAAGCTGGCTGCTTCTCTTATTTAGGTCCATAGGAATAGAAGGGCTTATTTTTTAAAGGAAAAAAGGAAAAAGAGTCAATATTTTTTCTAAAGCAAGATGTCACATTGTCTTCAAAACAAATGAACAAACTACATCCCAGATTCGGAGAGATACAGACATACATGTCAGGGACACATTCTCTCACTTTATATGGCAGGTGGAAGGAAGGCTAATATTCCTGGGGACATACTTGCTTAAATATTTTCCTAAGAGATGCTTGCAATTTCTCTGATGTGGACTGTCCCATGATCAAGGTATTTTCTGTCCCCTGAGAATTCTGTAACCCTCCCTATAACTCTCTTGCTTAGCTTTTTCTGGCTTTGAAACATGACTAGAAGCTTCATTAAATAAAAGTTAAACTGAAAGCATCCCAGCTTCTTGTGGTGTGACACACTGCTGGCAGAAAACTCTTCAAGAAGGATCAATCATTCATACAAGATAGAAGGCACAGCCTGAGGAGGGTTGGTCAAGGTTTACAAGACTCACTGCTAGGAAACTCAGAGAGGAAGAAACACTAGATGATGTTCTGCTGTTCTGCTGTTCTCTGATGTTCTGCTCAGCACAAGGGGATCAAGGGTGGTGGATGTCCACATCCTGCTTTAACAGGGATGCTTCTGTGGAGAGCTCTTGAGCCTGAAGATGTGCCCTCTCTTAAGATGGTAGGTAAGATTCTGGCAGAAGAGTTACAGGCTAAGGAATGCTTTCATTTTCCCTTACTCTGACCAGTTACACAATTACACATGGAAAAGTCAAGATCTGGCCAGAACACACATCTAGTGAACAAGTCGTTGTTGAAAACCCTACTGGATAGGCACACAGTGCAGAGTGGATTCTCTAAGATAGGAGGCAAAAGCAAGAACTGAAATGACAGTTACCAGGGAACAGCAATCAAAGTAGTACCATGTTGGAATTATGCAGATTTGTGGGTGAAAGTGGAGGGCTACTGCCCAAGTCTACGATTCTCTTTATCATAAGTAAGCAGAGCCTCTAAAGAGTAGCCAGAAAAATGAGACACTGTGAGAGAAAAAGGAGAGAAGGTGGAAGATGATGCTAATTTTCTAGAATTTGAGAATAATCCTTGTGGATTAGTAACAATCCTTACTAGGGATGGAGATTGAAACAGTTATACCTTCAAGTGAAGAAAGATTCATCTACATGTCATATAGTACGTAGTTGCCTAGATTTAACATTCCTAGAAAAATCACTAACATAAAGATTTCCTCCTTAAATCTGTTATTGGTGATTAGCCAAGGTTTAGAACTCTGAGATGCATCTTAGAAGAACACAAATCCACATGAAGAGACAAGAAAAACAAGACAATGTGAGACTATTTTATGAAATGCTAACTATATTTCTTTTCTAATGTTTAGTTGTAGATGGACACAATACCTTTATTTTATTTATGTGGTGCTGAGCGCCCCACTAATGTGAGGCAAGTAATCTACACTGAGTCACAACCCCAGGCCGCTAACTATGTTTTTGTTTTGAGTGTGTAGTGACAGTGTAAAGAAATGGCAGCTTTGAGCATTTAAGTATTAATTTTATCCTATTTTACTAATTTTTTACACTTTTGATGTTTTATTAGCTTTTTCAATAAGATTATGTATTAGTTTTGGAATTTTAATATAAAGTTTATTTTTTTAATTAAAAATACCATTTAAAATCTGCATGATTTCACACTGCTTAAACACAGGCAAATGCTTTCACGGCTTTTTAGAAAACAGAAGAGTTAGTTGTTTTTGTGGGCTTTTAATAAACTTGAGTGGGTCACAAGAGCTTCAGACCCAACATATTGCTCTGACACTATGGATAACAACTACCTCTTTTAATTATGAAGTGTCTCATAGTTGATGGTATATTCTTAACATTTTCAGTCAAATCCACACCCTTGGGATGTTAAGCTCATAGGTCCACTTTCTAAATGAGAGATGCTGAAATGTCAAAGGCTGCCAAAGGGACCCAAACCCCAACTTTTGTCCTTTATGTTCTTTTCCTTTTACCATAGTTGTTGTCCCTCTGCACAAATACAAGGCTCTGGACAAGTCTACCAAAGCTCCAAACCCTTAACACCTTCAACTGAAGAATAGTGGCTTGGATCTCACCATTTCCAAGGTCCCTCCTTCCTCTTTTTTATTTTGAATCTGGTTTCATCTAGTAGGAATGAAAAATGATGAGAGACAATGAGGGTCCTCTGAGTAAAGGAGCACAATCTCCAGGCTCAGGAGTTAAATCAACATCTATGAAGCCCCCTGTGGTTTTCATGGACTTGGAGGAACCTGGGTGATGTCTGTTGCATTAAGTTCTGATTCTGATTCTTAATAGAGTCACATGAAATCTGTGAGCAGAAGAAGTAGGAGGAGGAAGAGAAGAAAGCCTTAACACACTTTCAAAAATTTGCAATGCCTTTAGGTGATTTATAGACCAGTCTTAGTGATGCATGGACCAAGTTAACAATCTCTGTCCTTAATAGTGTGCAAGTGCACAACTTTGTGACTTATGGGAAACTTGATTTTGGTTGTTGTACAAAGTGAGTGAAACTTATTTTCATGTAGAAAATAGTGATTCAGGAATAGGGAGAAAAAGAATGTGAAGGGTATATATACATTACAATTAAGAAAATTAACCAATGATGAAAATGAGGACAGTTGTGGTCTATGTTTGGGAATGTGGCAATTGATTGAAAAGAGGGCATTGAGGGAATTTTCTAAAGTGATGAAAATGTTCTGGTTTTGACTGAGGCATTAGTTACACGGGGGTGCACATATTCCAGAAGGAATCAAATTGCACCTTTAATATCAGTGCATTTTACCATATGTAAATTCTATACCAATTTAAAACAAAAACAGTTCTTTTTCTTCCCCTACAGAAGATTTTGGAACATTTCCCATATGATTTTCTTGGCTATAGGGATGGGGTAGAAGAAAGAAAAGTTGATGTAGCTCAAACATAAATATTTTCTTTAGAAGTACTTGTGGAAGAATTCCATAGTATTTTAACGTTCCCTTTGAATATCCTCAAAGCAAAGCTGATTGCAGATTTATGGCTGTGATTTTTTGTCCCACAAGCCCACGTGCTGTGTGTTTAGGTCTGACATAAGTGTTAGAAGGGGGATAAAGTGTAGAAAATATGGACCTTAGAGACACCCATGCTCCCTCCAAAGGAGAAAGGGGTTCCGTAAATCACTTCAGCCTTTCATGTGCCGCCATGATACATTAATTTTTTATAACATAGGAAGAACAAGGTATCACACATGAGTTCTGAAAATTTAGATAGCCATAAGTTTGTTCTGGGTTGTGAGAATTTGAGAGCTAGGGAGGATTCTGTGTGTCGTCTTCTAATATTGAAACAATGATCCACATTCAGTCTGAAAGCTGGACCCATTGGGTACTCATGGGTACTCATTGTACCCATGTAGGATCTGTCACAGGGTCTGCCTTTGTGTTTGATGACCACAGGCAATGTCTGCCAGTGCAAACCCACCGGGCCTAGAATAACAGCAGCACTGATCTCACACCTTAACAACACACACTGATGTTTCTCATAGAAATGACTGATGAAGTCTTCACAGATTCCCTCCCCCCCCATTTTGCATGCTCACATTAAATATTGTTAAAAAATTAAAAACCATTTTTTTTTACAATTTACAAGTGTTCATATAAGAAGAAAATGACTAAAAAAATACCCACCCAAGCACCTAGAACTCATCTAGCAAACAAGGCTAACAATACACAGGCTGTGACCGAAGAACTCCACTATTGGTGGGAAAGCTGGGAGGCACAGTCCAATCTCTGGAAGGAAGGTGACAGGTGTCGGATCCACAGAGTGCTGGCTGTCGGTGGTGCTTTGTTCCCTAAGTCAAGTTCAGCAGCCGAATTTCAGAGTCAATGTCATTACTTATTTCGACCTATAAAAGAAAATACGAATTGCTTTAAAGAACTTCAGTATTGAAAAAAAAAATCCTTCCTATTCGCTTAGGCCTTTTGAATGCAAAATAGCTTCTGGGTGTGCCTGGGTTGCATTGGACACCTGGGCTTTCCTGCTTTCCTGATTACAGTGTGGCAATCGGGTTTCAAAATGTAGGACTGATTTCCTGGGATAGAAATGCTGACCATGCTGCAGTTGCAAAGTGGCATGGAGTCATCAGGGGCCTTAGGGGTAAGATGATTGGGGCTGAGCTGTGTCTACACACCACCACACACACACCTCCAACCTGATCTTCCTCTACCACCCCCTCTTGCTTGACTACTCAAGAATCAACCGAGTCTGGCTTTCCTACCACCTAACCACTGACCTGTGTCCCTTACATATTTCTTATCTTGTGATGGTTACTTTTATGTGCAAACTTGGCTATTCTGTGGTCCCCAGACATTTGATCAAACACTAGTGTTTCTAACCAATACATTATAACGACACAGGAGAGTGAAACTCCCTGTGCTCTGTGTATATACATGCACATCATATGATTGGGTGGATTTCATTCCTCATGGACCTTTCTTTGCTCTCTTCTCCTCCATCCACCTATCTCTCTTCCGTATTCTCCTGGTTTACCTTCTATTTTTGAGAGATCCCTTTTTATTCCTTTTTTTTTTTTCTCTTTAGCTTCCACATAGAAGAAAGAAATGTATCCTTTTTCAGGGTCAAATGCTGGTTTAAGTGTCAAAGTATCTTGTATCATTTTGCTGAGAGTAGCATTTAAATCAGTGACTCTGAGTAAAGCTGAATGCCCCCATATTGGGGAGGGGGGCTCCTCTGATCAGTTGAAGGCCTCAAAAGAACAAGGCTGAAATTTTCTGAGGAAGAAGGAAACCTGATTCCAGGCTGCCTTTGGACCCAAACTGCAATTTCCATTCTTCCTCCTTGTGTCTCTGATCTGCAAGCACAATCTACAGATTTTGGACTTGCCGGACACTGTAATTACATTACATGCTCTAATTTCTTAAAATCTTAAAAATCTCTCCACTCTCCCACTACTGTGTGTGTGTGTGTGTGTGTGTGTGTGTCTTCTATCTCCCTCTGTGTGCATACACACACACCTTAGTGGTCTAGTGGTTCTGTTCTATTATACATTCCCATGTTCAGTCACTCTTGTCTCCAAACTTTTGGTGAAGACTGTGCATATTTTTTGTTTCATACTAAGTGGTAAGTTGGGATAGAAGGGCTCTGAATTATGCATCTTTGTACAAAATCAACTTTGGCATAGAACCTGCTACACAGTTCACACTTAATGAATATTGGTGGAGTACTTCAGCTCTCAATATTTCTCTCATGCAAAGTCTTAGCCCATCCAAATCCTATTGGCCTCTAAAGGTTTAGTTGAAGTTCTCCTCTGTGAAGGCTTTCACTTCTCCTCAGCCATATGACTTTCCCATCCCGCTAATGGCAACTCTCATGCTATCAGTACTACCTCACGTGCAGCTCATGGCAACCAGCTTCACAATGAATGGTGCCCTAATGATTTCATTTAGGCATGAAAGTTTTTCCCTCCAACCAACTTATAAGCATCACACTAACAGAGACTATGTTTCACTCTTACTTTAACCCCCAACTAGAAACTTTTCTTCCACTAGCTCAGGATAATGATTCTATGGTATGGGATGAAATTTTTAGTCATACTTTGAAATAGCTGAAAAAATTCCAGGTTGTCACTTCTCCGACTGTAAATCATGGTCCCTGCTGCACAACACAGGAGTCGGAGGGCTTCACCTCTCTCCCAGCTTCCTTATTGTGTTTCCCCAGCTCTTCTGTTACTCTCTGTTCTGAAGGACACAATCATATATCTGCCCTTTTGCATTTTAACAGGGATTTAAATTGAAAGATAAAGGGATGAGATTATAGTGATGGAATTTTATGATTTCGTACAACCTCTAAGTTCGGAGGGAGATCCAATGTCCTCAAGTTCATTTATCTACTCAGCACATGAATCCGTTCCAGATACTGAGAAGAAGGTGATGAAGGGCATGTGCTTCTTTGTTAGTAGAAGAGGTTTGGAGAAACTTCAAAATAGCTACAATGTTTATTTTTAATGTCAGCTCTGCTTCTAGCAAATATTTTATGTTCTTGGGCTTTAGCAACACAGATTAGTAAAGCAGTGAAACAGGTGGAGACTCTTCCTTTGGTGCCAGGTAAATATTCTGGAAATGTCATTTCAATGGCTAGGAAATGTGTCTGCAGGGAATTTTGAAGAACGCAGTGAAGCAACTTTGACAGGAGGCATTGAAAGCAAGCCTTTGGTACTCTGTGTTGGGTCTTATTAACAAACTGACTTCTAAAAATCAAACACAGAAGTAGAGAGAACAGTATTATAAATCCCTATATATTCATTACTCTGTTTTAATGAAAATAAAAATTATGGTATCAAAGTGTCCTCTATTCATTGCTGCTTTTTGATGGGGGAGAGGCTAAGATATTTAAAACCAAATCTTAAACATTATACCATTTTATTCAGAGCTCTATACATCTGCAGTGCATTGATTCTTAATGAGGGGAAATTTGCCACTGTCTGGAGACAATTTTGGTTGTCAAGATGTAGTAGGGAGTGGTGCTACTGACATCGAGTATCCACAGAACAAGGAAGCAGCTCAATATTCCAATGTGGGACCAACCCACTCTGGAGAATTATCTCATCCAAAGACAACAGCGCGTTTGAGAGATCCTGCTCAACTGGTAAGAACTAATTAATTAAATTTTTATTTATTCATTACCAATAGTTTCTTAATACCAGTTAGTATCTAGCCTGTACTCATAATGTCCCAATGGTTTAGAAACATCTTATTGCAACAGGCTTGTCAAAAATCAGGATTCAATAAGGTACACATATTCATTTCATTATTCTGTCTTTAAAATCTCTTCTAAATAAATGATAGTTTTTCCTCTTTTTGAAAAATTTGCCCCACACTATTATTCACATTTTTAGATTTGGCTGATTACTTCCTTGGTGAGATTCAAGGAATCTCATTTTGCTGTTTTTGTGTTTTCTATAATACCAATCCAAGATCAGGCTTGCCTTTATAACAAGATGGTGGTGGTATATACTTCTTATGCAGCTCACATAGAGACGTAACATCGGGTTGTCCCAGTTTTAACGATGCTATAATTGATCCACAGGTCTGTGTTAGAACAACTTGAGATCTGGGATCCTAAAGATCATACCTTTTTAAAAATAATTTTTATTAATACAAGTATTTGTAAATCATAGTAGTTACCTGACCTGAAGGCAGAATGAAATCAAGTAATTAGATGGTGATGTTATTTCAAAGGATGTCTTTTGACATGTTTACTTGAGAGACTTGTAAGTATCTTTAATAAAATTATTTCTCTAACAAAGTTATTTGTACTTCTTTTGCCATTGATTAATTTTGGAGGTGTGGATCATATTTCCTTACATTGATTAATTTTGGAGGTGGTGGATCATATTTCCTTACCACTACATGAATCTACTTTCTTGCCATGGGCATCAGTGACAAATACCAAGGAAAAATAAGGAGTTCCCATCGTCTCTGGAAGGCATCATTCAGATATCCTCTATTCAGATATGGTCTTCCTCATCCTAGAAAAGGATCTATGTACTTCACATGGCAGCATGAGAAACAGTCTCTGCAAGGTTCTAGGGATAGAGACTGAGGTCACGTATCCAAAGAAATGATTTCTGTGTCCCCAGTGAGAATGGGAAGGGTGACTGACCTCCAGTCACAGTGGTCACATCAGACTGTTGTATCTGCACTCCTAGCAGGGACAGGTGTGCACAAACTATTATCATGAGGAGACTACACCACACAGGCCACATAGACCCAATCAAATGGCTACAGATTAGCAATGTGTTCTTACTGTATAGTCTCCAAAATGGTACAGCTATTTCATATGACGGATCTAAAACTTATTAATGCCAGTGAAAAATAAAAGAGTTCCAAAGCTAGGGAGAGCAATGAGCCCTATTGCTGCAACCATTGTGCTAAGTAGGAGAAGCCCACAGCAAGGCCCATCTCTCCTTTGGGACGACTAAGATGATGCTAAGTGCTTTGCAGTTGTGGCGTCCTTGAGACAGCCCCAGAGAGTTAATGCCTCCGAAAGTGTCTTCCATTTCCAAGGGACTGATGGCAGGGGCTCAGGGGATGGAACGCCCATGCTCAGTAATGGGAAGAGTGAGCCAGCCATCTCTATGAGCAGATCTCAGGTACTTCGCTCTGCCTGCTATGGAGGACAGGGTGCTTAGCAGCCCCTCTGTGTAGAGAACTATTAAAGCGTGAGAGCCATTCAAAGACAAAGGAAAACAGCAAAGACAGAGTTATCATGTTATTCATCTTTGGGTTCCCCCAGCCATAGTTTGCTAACACATGGCTGATGCTTGTTGGTTTTTAAGTTAGAATTTGATCAAAGGGAGACCCGTAAGAATTGAGGAAAGGAATGAGGGGAAGGGATGAGAAGAGGAAAAGGGAAATACTGGGAAATGATATTGGTCCAATTATTTTGTTGTATTGCGTGCATGTACAAAAATGTAACAATCCTGCTATGATGCGCCACTATCATGCACCAATAAAAATATAGAGATAAAATAGGGCGTGAAAACACACAACTTCCTAACTCCTGCATACACGCAGATATACATGCACACACAGATACACACGCACACAACATACTTACTTGATTTGTTCTACCAGCTAGTGCCTGATCTAGGTGCTATAAATGGAAAATGTCCCAGCAGGGCACCAACTTACATGTGAGAATACTGATAGAAAAAAGTTGTTTTGGGGGAAGAACAGATACTCCTGACTACCTCTGCCTTCGTCCTACGGCCTGATCATCAGAGGTGGGTTTCCTATGGGCCTGGACTCATAGAGGCAGAGAACCAGCAGTGAGGACTCTGGAGCCGGAGGCAGTGACAGCTTGAAATGGGGATTAGCCTCCTCT